GACCACTCGGTACGGGAGGGGGCGAGGAGACCAGCGGGGACCGGGAGAGGCCACCAGGTGCTTTTTGAGGGTGGGAGAGACCACCGGGATCTGGGAGGGGTCACCAGGGATGTCACGGGAGTTACCCCCGCGCACTCGGGGGGGGCAACATTGGAGACCACCGGGGGGGGGGGGCCGCGATGGGAGGGACTGAGAAACCCCCCCAGGGGCGATGGGGAAGGGCAGGGGGGACCCCCGGGAAAGGGGAGGGGGGGGCCGGGCTGGGGGACACTGGGATGGGGGTTGGACCCTCCCCGACCCCCTGTCCCCTCCATTCCCAGGGAACTACCGGACACAGCTGTGGGACAAACAGTCCGAGTCGTTCCTGCCCTCCACTCCCGGGCTGGGCATGCACGTGGAGATCAAGGACCCCGACGGAAAGGTGGGCACCCCCAGGACAAGGCAGTGGCCCTGTCTTGGTGCCCTGGGGTGGGTGACAGTGGCCCTGTCCCAGTGTCTCAGAGTGTGACAGTGGCCCTGTCCCAGTCCTGGGGGTGTGACACCACCCCCATGTCCCCAGGTGGTGCTGTCCCTGTGGTGTCACAGTGTCCCTGTGGGTCCCTGGGCTGTGTGTGACACTGTCCCTGTCCCAGGTGGTGCTGTCCCGCCAGTATGGCTCCGAGGGTCGCTTCACCTTCACGTCCCACACGCCGGGGGAGCACCAGATCTGCCTGCACTCCAACTCCACCCGCATGGCCCTGTTCGCTGGGGGCAAACTGGTACTGCTGGGGCGAACTGGGAACACTGGGGAGGGGTCCCCAACCCTAGGGGGGGTCTCTGCCACCTGTGTCACCCCCTGAGCCCCCCCCGACCCCTTCTGTGCCTGCAGCGGGTGCACCTAGACATCCAGGTGGGTGAACACACCAACAACTACCCCGAGATCGCAGCCAACGACAAGCTGACGGAGCTGCAGCTCCGGGCACGGCAGCTCCTGGACCAGGTGGAACAGATCCAGAAGGAGCAGAACTACCAGAGGGTGAGCAGGGGGTCCTGCAGGGTCAGTTTGGAGGGGATCACCCAGTTTTCCCCCCTCTCTGACCCCCTTCCCTGTTTTGGGGCAGTACCGGGAGGAGCGGTTCCGCATGACGAGCGAGAGCACCAACCAGAGGGTGCTCTGGTGGTCCATCGCCCAGACCATCATCCTCATCCTCACCGGCATCTGGCAGATGAGGCACCTCAAGAGCTTCTTTGAGGCCAAGAAGTTGGTGTAGCCACCCCAAGCCCCTGGGGGGCTCCCCCAAATCACCCAACACGCCCCAAAGGGGGGATCCAACCCACCCCGGGGGATTCCCACAGACCTGGGGAGGGACCTTTGCTGCCTGCTGGGACCCTGGGGGTGGTGGGCAGGTTGGGGGGGCCCTGCCTGCCATCTGGGAGGGGGGAACCCGCCCCCTACTTGGGGGAAAATAAAGATTTTATTGGGGAAAATAAAGGAGTTTTTTGTTTCAGTGGGGGTCCCTGGTGCTTTTTTGGACTGGGGAGGGAATCTGGTGCTGCAGGAAGCCAAGGTGGGGGTTCAGCCATCCAGCTACCTTTCTACAGTGCACTTTCCCCCTCCTGGGGAATGAATCCCCCCAAAAAAGACCCCTGGGGGGTGGGGACGAGGTTTCGGGGGCTCCCCCAGCCCCGAGCATTCCTCCACCGCCAGGGGGCGCTGCGGCGCCTGCCTCCCCGGCGGCGGCGCTCTGTGCACACAACCGGAAGTGTTTGTGGGCTGGGCGGCCAAGATGGCGGCGGACACGGCGGCGTCGGGCTTCGAGCACATGGGGCTGGACCCCCGACTGCTGAGGGTGGGGGGGCCGGGGGGGGAAACGAGGGCCTTCGGGACACTGGGAGGGAGGGCTCAGCCCCACGGGGAGGGGTGCACGGGGAGCGAGGGGAGGCCTCGAGGGGGCTGAGAGGGTTTTGGAGTCACTGGGGATCCCCACCATGGGGAGGGGGTGTCTTGGGGGGGCACTGGGGACCCCGGGTTTGGGGGGGGGATGTCTGTAGGACAGAGTGGGACAGTGAGGACCCCCGTTTTGAGGAGAGGGTGTCTGTGGGCCTTGGGGGGCACTGGTGACCCCACCATGGGGAGAGCGTATCTGGGGGGGGGTTCTGTGTCCCCCACCACGGGCAGGGGCTGTCCTGGTCCCTGCGGTGACCCCGGTGCCCTCCCCAGGCGGTGGCAGAGCTGGGCTGGGCAACTCCCACGGCCATCCAGGCCCAGGCCATCCCCCTGGCATTGGAGGGCAGAGACCTGCTGGCACGGGCCAGGACGGGCTCCGGGAAAACAGGAGCCTACGGGCTTCCCCTGCTGCACAAACTGCTCAGCATCAAAGAGGTGAGGGCATGGGGGTGCTCTGTGGGGCACAGGGGTGTCCTTGGGGACCCTGTCCCCCCCTGGTGTCAGTGCTGGTGCCCACAAGCTGTATGGGCATGGTGGACTCGGGGGGTGCAGGGCCGGGCTCCTGGCACACGGGGGTGTCCCTTTGTGCCCCACTGACAGCCCCTGTCCCCCAGGCATCCCCAGCACTGCCCCAGGCCGTCCGTGCCCTGGTGCTGGTGCCCTCGGCGGAGCTGGGCCGGCAGGTCGGGCACACCCTGCGCCAGCTCTCAGCCTTCTGCGCCCGCCGGCTGCGTGTGGTGGACCTGTGCTCACAGAGCGACCCTGCTGCCCAGAGGTGAGGGACCCCTGTGCCCTGTGTGCCCCCTGACCCCCCCTGTGCTCACAGAGCGACCCTGCTGCCCAGAGGTGAGGGACCCACTGTGTGCCTCCCTCTGCCCCCCGACCCTCCCTGTGCCCCCTGAGCCCTCCCTTACCCCGTGTGTGTGCCAGGCCTGTGCTGATGGAGCAGCCTGATGTGGTGGTGGGCACCCCGGGGCGGGTCCTGGCCCACCTGGGCGGGCACAGCCTGAGCCTGCGGCACTCACTGGAGCTGCTGGTGCTGGATGAGGCCGATCTGCTGCTCTCCTTTGGGTTTGGGGATGACATCAAGGCCCTCCTCTGGTAAGGGGGTGCAGGGGGGGTGTGGGGGGCATGGACAGGGCACACGGGGGCAGGGATGGGGGTACTGGGGCCACTGCTGGGGGTGGAGGGCACGGGGGGCAGTGCCAGGGGTTTGGGGGCACTGAGGGTTTGGGGGGCACTGCTGGGGTGGAGGGTCACAGGGGGCACCGATGGGGGCATGGGGGGCAGGGGATGGGAGCATGGGGGGGCTCTGCTGGGGGCACTGCCAGGGCTGGGGGGAGCAGCGGGGCTGGAAGGGGTGGAAGGCACAGCCAGGGGGTTGGGAGACACTGTTGGGGGTGGAGGTTGTGAGGGGAGCACAGCCCAAGAGTTTGGGGGGCATTGAGAGTTATGGAGGCACCACCTCAGGTTTGGAGGGCACTGCTGGGGTTTGGGGGAAATTGTTAAAGCAGGGAGACTTGGGGGCACAGTGAGTTTTGAGGCATTGCCAGGGCTGGGGGGGCACAGGAAGGCTCAAGGGGGGCAGCAGAGCATCACCAGGCCCGGTGCCAGGGGGCCTGGGGGGCACTGAGCCCCCTGTTTTCCCCCAGCCACCTGCCCAAGATCTACCAGGCCCTGCTGGTGTCGGCCACGTTCAACCCCGAGCTGGAGGCGCTGCAGGAGCTTGTGCTGCACAACCCCGTGAGGAACGAGGGGCTGGGATGGGGTTTGGGGGGAGCTGGGATGGGGTTTGGGGGGGACTGGGAGGGGTTTGGGGCATCCAGGGGGAGGTTTGGGGGCTCTAAGGGAGGTTTGCGGGATCCAAGGGGGATCCAGAGCGGGCACAGAGATGGGAAAACGCCGGGATTTGGGAACACTGCCCCCCAGGAGCAGATTTAGGAGCCACAAGGAGCCCAGAGGACCCTGTGGGTGCCACAGCCCCCCTGTTTTTCCCCATTTTCCCCATCCCAGGTGTTGGTGCTGCCCCCGGAGCCGCGGCTGCCGGGCCATTCCCAGCTGCAGCAGTTCCAGGTGCGCTGTGGGACGGAGGAGGACAAGTTCCTGGTGCTCGTGGCGCTGCTGCAGCTGCGGCTGCTGCGGGGCCGGGCCCTGCTCTTCGTGGGCAGCCTGGCCAGGGCCTTCCGCCTCAAGCTCTTCCTCGAGCAGTTCGGGATCCCCGCCTGCACCCTCAACTCCGAGCTGCCCGCAGCCTCCCGGTATGCCAGGGGCACTGGGGGGGCACTGGGGGGGCCCTGGGGTGTCCTGGGGGTCACACGAAGGGGGGTGGGCACACTGAGGGTCTCCTCTGTCCCCAGGTGCCACGTCATCGCCCAGTTCAACCGTGGCCTCTACGACTTCATCGTGGCCACCGACGAGGAGGGGCCTGTGGAGACCCCCCAGCGCCAGGCACGGAAAGGGGGGACCCCGGGGTGAGCACGGGGGCTGGGGGATGTCACCAGGGACCCACTGGTGCCACCAGTGTCCTGTGGGTGGCACCAGTAACCAGGGGGTGACACCAGGGACCTGGGAGTGCAACCAGTGCCCTGAAGATGCCACCAGGGAGCCACTGGTGCCACCAGTATCACATGGGTGACACCAGTGTCCTGTGGGCATCACCAGGGACCTGGGTGACCACCAGTGTCCTGTTCCCGTGCGAGTGTGTCCCCCTTGGGGGGCTCAGGGTGTCCCTGTGACCGTGGCCTCACCGTGCCCGGGGTGTCCTTGTGCCCAGGGGATCCCCTTTCCCAGCCTCCCTGTCCCCACATCCCAGATGCCCACTTGCTCTGGGTGTCCCTCCCGAGCCCCCCCAAACCCTGGTGTCCCTGTGTCCCCCCAGGAAGGGGAAGGGGAAGGCCAAGGACAAGGGGAAGGCCAAGGCCCAGGACCCTGAGTATGGGGTCGCGCGGGGCATCGACTTCCAGAACGTCTCGGCCGTCATCAACTTCGACGTCCCCCCCACGGTCGAGTCCTACATCCACCGTGTGGGCAGGTCTGTGCGGGCACCGGGGGGACCCCCAGGGGTGCCAGGCTGGCCGTGGTCCCACCCTGTGTCCCCCCTGCACCCCCCAGGACAGCCCGCGGTGACAACCCTGGCACGGCGCTGACCCTGGCGCTGCCCGAGGAGCACGAGGGGCTCACCCGCATCGAGGACGCGCTGGCAGGAGGTTTGGAGGGCCCTGTGCCACCCGGGGGGCTGGGGGACACTGGGGGGCTGGGGTGATCCTCTGTGTCCCCCCAGAGAACGGGCAGTCCATGCTCCAGCCCTACAAGTTCTGCATGGAGGAGATCGAGTCGCTGCGCTACCGCTGCCGGGTACGGGGGGCACCGGCGGGGCTGGGGGGGACAGGGGTGGCACTGATGAGGTCCTGGTGACACCAGGGGGATGTTGGTGGTGCCAGGGGGGGTCCTGGTGACTCGGAGGGGGTGCCAGCGTGGGAGTGGCACCCTGTGACCCCACTGTGCCCCCCCAAAGGATGCCATGCGCTCGGTGACCAAGCAGGCGGTGAAGGAGGCGCGGCTGCACGAGATCAGGGACGAGCTGCTCAACTCCGAGAAGCTCAAGGTGACCCCGGGGGGCTCGGGGAGGGGGTTTGGGGGTCCCTGAGGGGCACAGGGGGTCCCTGGGCGGTGCCAACTTCCCCCCCCCATTGTCCATGGCCAGGCCTATTTCGAGGACAACCCCCGGGACCTGCACGTGCTGCGCCACGACAAACCCCTGCACCCGGCCATCGTGAAACCTCACCTGAGGAACGTGCCAGACTACCTGGGTACGGGGGCACAACAGGGGCACGGGGGGGGAAATGGGCAAAAATGGGGGGATTGGGGGGAAAACGGCGCAGAAGGGGGTGATTTGGGGGGCAGGACTAACCCCTGGTGCCCCCCCAGTGCCCCCCAGCCTCCGGGGCATTGCCAGGCCTGGCCCCAGGAAACGAAAGGGCCCCCGAGTGCTCCGAGGGCCCAGTGCCCGCAAGGGAAAACCTGCTGTGAGTGACCCCCAAACCCCCTCCCTGAGACCCCAGATCCCCCCCACATCTTCTCCCTGAGACCTCAAACATCCCCAAACACCCCTAAATCCCCTGCACAGACCCCCAAATCCCCCTCGCTCCCCAGAATTCCCCCTGAACCCCAAATTACCCCCTGGACCCCTAAATCCTCCTTGCAAAGCCAAAACACCCCCAAATCACTCCCACTCCCCTAAATCCCCCCTGAGCCCCCAACCCCCCCAAAATCCCCCAAATCCCCCCTTGCTCCCTGAAATCCCCCCAGATCTCCCCACTGCACCCTCAAATGCCTCCCCACTCCCTCAGCTCCCTCCCCTGAACCCCAAAATGCCCCCAAACACCCCCAAATATCCCCGCCGAGCCCCCTGCAGATCCCCACCCTGCTCTTCTTTTCCAGCCCCGTGGCACCGGGAACCCTCTGCAGAGCTTCAAGTTCTCCCGGCGTGGTGCCAAGGGCCGGGCTGTGCCCACCCCCTGACCCCCCCCCGTGCCCCTCTGGGGGCCTGGGGGCTGTGCTGTGCCCCCCTGCATCCCCCCGGGGCCTGGGGGCTGTGCTGTACCCAATAAAGGTGCCAGGGGCTGGTTTTGGGGTGCTGGTTTTGGGTGCTGTGTGTGTGGGCGCGGTGCCCGCCCTGCGTGACGTGACAGGGACAGGGCGGGGCTGGTGACGCAGGTGTGGGACCCGGGCAAAGGTGCCAGAGCGGGACCACCCCCCTTATCATCACCCAGGGCCGTAAAGGGGAGGGTCAGGGACACCCTGGGGGGTGGCACCGATGGGTTCAGGGGCTCGGAGCCCCTCAGGCACCCCAAGGGAACTCTGTGGCGGGATGGCACCGGGATGGGGTGGCCCAGCCCTGCCCGTCAGTGCCCGCCCAGACACTTATCGGGGCCACAGACACTTATCAGGGCCCCAGATACTTACCAGGGTTCCAGACACTTATCAGGGTTCCAGGGCCTTATCGGGGTTCCAGGGCCTTATCAGGGTCCAAGGCTCTGGACCCTTTCCTGGCACTGGGCACAGGGCACTGGGGTGTCACACACCTGTCCACGGGGATGACACTGGGATGGCACCCACCCAACCACTGGGATGGCACCTACCTCTTCCCCAGGATGGCACTGGGATGTCACCCACCAGCCCCCGGGATGGCGCTGAAATGTCACCCACCCACCCCCTGATGTGGCATCAGAGTGTCACCCACCTGCCCCCGGGATGGCACTGGGGTGTCACACACCTGCCCCTGGGATGGCACCAGCACGTCCCTGGCCAGAGAGGGGAGCACAGGGGGGTTTCCCTGCAGGACACACCTGTGGCAACCCCCTGGCACTGCCACAACACCCAGGGGTGACCCCACACTGTCCCTCCCTTCCCCCACTCCTGTGTGCCCCCGCAGCGCTCCCAAATCCCCCGTTTTGTGCCCAAATGCCCCATTTCGTGCCCAAATGCCCCGTTTCGTGCCCAGGTTCCCGGTTGTGCGGGTTTGGGTTTCCCAGGAAGCGGCTCCAGCCCTGCCCCGAGATCGATCGATCGGTCTCGTTAATGATCCCCCGGGTTAATGATCCCCCGTTTACAGCCCTGACCGGGGCTGATTGGCCTTGTGGCTGTCAGACCAGCAGGGCCCTGCCACGGCAGTGCCTGCCCCGGGGGTGCCACCCATATAAAACATGCTGGGCGGTGTCGGGGACACCCCTCTGCCACCATGGCAGGGTCCCTGGCGCTGCCCGGCGCCCTCCTGGCAGCACTGCTGGCACTGGTAGGAGCTGGGGCGGCACTGGGGGCACACGGGCACTGCCAGGGAGAGGGGTGGGGGGTGGGGTTTGGGGGGCTGGGGATGGCAGAGTAGGGGGACACTGGTGCGGCACCCATTGGGTGACACTTGAGGGGCTGGGGGTGGCAGAGCGAGGGGGGTGATGGTACAATGCCCATTGGGTGCCTGTTGGGTGCCCCTTGGGGGGGGCTGAGGGTGGCAGAGCCAAGGAACCCCGTTCTGGTACCCATTTGGTGACATTTAGAGGGGCTGGGTGTGGCAGAGTAGGGGGACACTGGTGTGGTCCCCATTGGGTGATGTTTGGAGGGTCTTGGGGTGGCAGAGCTGGGAGGACACTGGTGTGGCACCCACTGGGTGCCTGTTGGGTGACAGTGGTGGGGCTGAGGGTGGTAGAGTGGGGGGGAAACCATTGTGGTACCCTTTGGGTAGTGATTTGAGGGCCTAGAAGTGGCAGACTGGGGGGGACACCACTGTGATGCCCATCAGATGCCTGTTGGGTGCCCTTTGGGTGGTATTTGGGGGGGCTGAGGATGGCAGAGTGGGGGACACACCTCTGCAGTGCCCGCCAGATGCCTGTTGGGTACCATTTGGATACTGACAGTGCCATCCCCCTCCCCAAACCCCCTCCCCCCCCCCCCTCCCCCCCCCCAGGCCTCCCCATCCCTCACCCCGATCCACCGCGCCGGGTACTGCTCCTTCTACGGCGAGTGCGGGCGCAACCCCGAGGTGGACACGTCGCTGGTGTCCTCCAACGTGCCCTGCCTGAACAACACTCCTGCCCAGGAGGCCACGGGCGCTCTGCTGGCCCTGCTGCGCTCCGTGTGCCCGGACCTGGCGCGGGGGGACAACGAGACCACCCTGGTGTGCTGCAACTACGAGCAGCTCAGCGCGCTCCGGCTCAGCGTCGCGCTCTCGGGCACCGTCCTGGCGCGGTGCCCGTCCTGCGCCCGCAACTTCGCCAGCCTGTACTGCCACAACACCTGCAGCCCCGACCAGAGCCTGTTCACCAACGTGACGCGGGTGGTGAACAGCACGGAGGCGCCCGGCTTGGCGGTGGTGGAGTATCAGAGCTTCTTCCGGCAGCGCTTCGCCGATGCCGCCTTCTCCTCGTGCCGCGGGGTGCGGCTCCCGTCCACCGGCGGCTTCGCCATCGCCACCATGTGCGGGCGCTACGGTGCCCAGCTCTGCACCCCCCAGCGCTGGCTGGACTTCCAGGGCGACAAGAACAACGGGCTGGCGCCGCTGCAGATCAACTTCCAGCTGGTGCCCAACGGCACCGAGCCGGGCGATGACATCGAGCCGCTGGACGCGCGGGTCTGGAGCTGCAGCGAGGCGCCGAGTGAGGATGAAGAGCCCTGCTCGTGCCAGGACTGCGCCGAGTCCTGCCCGCCCGTGGTGGCCCCCGCAGACCCGCCGCCCCCGTTCCGGCTGGGCGAGGCCGACGGTGTCCTGGTGCTCTGTGTCCTGCTCTTCGCCTTCCTCGCCATGGTCTTCCTCGTGACCCTGCTGTGCCAGCGGCGCTCCAAGGGGCTCACGATGCCGCAGGCAGTGCCCGCTGCCCGCGGGTGCTCGGCGTGGGTGGGCAATGCCAGTCACCAGGCCCTGGCACGGGTGTTCCGCTGGTGGGGGACACTGGTGGCCTCAAGGCCCCTGGTGGTGCTGGTGGTGGCCGTGGTGGTGGCCGGGGGGCTCTCGGTCGGGATGATGACCCTCCGGCTGACCACGGACCCGGTGGAGCTCTGGTCGGCGCCGGGCAGCCGTGCCAGGCAGGAGAAGGCCTTCCATGACCAGCACTTCGGGCCCTTCCTGCGCACCAACCAGATCATTGTGACGGCGCCGGGCAGGGCTGGGTCTCGCTACGACTCTGTGATCTTGGGGGCCAAGAACTTCAGCGGGGTCCTGTCCCAGGACGTGCTGCAGGCGCTGCTGGAGCTGCAGGAGCGGCTGGCGGCCATCGAAGCCTGGGCACCGCAGGCGGGCAGGAACGTGACGCTCAGGGACGTGTGTTATGCCCCCCTGAACCCCACAGAGCCCACCCTGGGCGACTGCTGTGTCAACAGCGTCACCCAGTACTTCCAGAACAACCGCTCCCACCTGGCACTCACCGCCCTGCAGGAGGACAGCAAAGAGACGGGCACCGTGGACTGGCACGACCACCTCATCTACTGTGTCAAGTGGGTGCCAGGCTGTGGGGTTGGGGTTCTCTCCGGGTCCCCCCTCACAGCTGGGTCCGGGTGGGCTCAAGGCGGTGATGGGTACCCCCGCTGACCCCCTGGCACCCTGTCCCCACCAGCTCCCCGCTCTCCTTCAAGGACATCACAGCGCTGGAGCTGAGCTGTATGGCCGAGTACGGCGGGCCCGTGTTCCCATACATCGCCTTCGGGGGATACCGGGGTACGGGGGCACGGAGGGCAGGGGGGCACAGGGACCTGGGTAGGTGGGGGGCTCTGTGGGGCAGGGGGGACCTGTGGGCACGGGGACACCTGGGGGACGGGGGACCTGTGGGCAATGGGGGTCCCTGTGGGACATGGGGACAACTTGGGGGGACAGGAGACTGTCTCTATGGGGTGTGGGGGACCTGTGGGCAATGGGGACACCTCAAGGACAGGGGCCCTCATAGGGCATGGGGGCACCTGTAGGGCAGGGGGTACGGGAACACCTTGGGGGAATGGGGGGCTCCATGGGGCAGGGGGGGACCTGTGAGGTGTCCCTGCCGTGTCCCCCCTGTGTCCCTCCATGTCCCCACGTCCCTGTGTCCCCAGACTCAGAGTACACGGAGGCCGAGGCTCTGATCATCACGTACTCCCTGAACAACTTCCCCCACGGGGACCCCCGGCTCGAGTGGGTTCTGAGCTGGGAGAGCAAGTTCCTCGAGGTGGTTCGGGATTTCCAGCGCTCGCACGGCCTCAACCTGTCGGTCACGTTCATGGCCGAGGTCAGACCCCTCCCGGTGTCCCCTGTGTCCCCTCTGTGTCCTCTCCGTGTCCCTGTGCCCCCAGTGCCCCCCATACCCCCCGTGACCCTGGTGCCCCCAGTACCCCATGTCCATGTGCCCCCCAGTGACCCCTGTGCCCCTGGTTTCCCCCATGTCTTTGTGCCCCCCCCCCACATCCCGTGTTCCCATTCTCAGGGTGGGATGGGGGGTCCCCGGGGTGCCCGGTGTCCCCTCATTCCCCCTCCCCTGTCGGTGCCCCCCCAGCGGTCCCTGGAGGACGAGATCAACCGCACGAGCGGGGAGGACCTGCCGGTGTTCACGCTCAGTTACCTGCTGGTGTTCGCCTACATCGCGCTGGCCCTGGGCGAGTACACGGCCTGGAGCCGGGTGCTGGTGCGTCCGGGGGGCTTCGGGGCTCTGGGGGGGTGTCTGGGGAGTCCAGGGGTTCCAGGGGCGTCCTGGGGGGGGTTCCAGGAGGTTCAGGGGGTCCCAGGGGGGTCCTGGTGGAGCTGGGGGATCCTGGGTGGTGTGCTGGTGGGTCCGGGGTGCTCCTGTGGGATGTCCAGGGGTCCCAAGGGGGTCCCGGGGGATCCAAGGGGGTCCCGGGGGATCCAAGGGGATCCCGGGGGCTCCCAGGGGGTGTCCAGGGGTTCTGGGAGGTCCCAATGGGATCTGGGTGGGGTTCTAGGGGAGCTGGGGGTGCTGAGTGTGGGTGTCGCAGGTGGAGTCGAAGGTGACGCTGGCAGTGGGGGGCATCGCCGTGGTCCTGGGGGCCGTGTTTGCCTCCATGGGGTTCCTGGCGCTGCTGGGGGTGCCCTCGTCCCTCATCATCCTCGAGGTCGTGCCCTTCCTCGTGCTCGCTGTGGGCGCTGACAACATCTTCATCTTCGTGCAGGAGTTCCAGGTCCGGGATGGGGGGGCACAGAGGGCGGGGGGGGCGGCACGGGGGCACTTTGGGGATTCTCATGGGGAATGTGGCCCTGGGGGGGCACCTGGGGGTCCCCATGGGGCAGGGTGGGGAGGGAGGTGCCCATGGGGCACAGCACCCTGTGGCTGCCCCAAGGCGGGGTGGTGGGTGCCCAATGGGGCCCCCCAGGGGGTGGGGGGTACCTTTGGGGTTCTCCCCCAGGGTGGGGGTGCCCCATGGGGTCCCCCCTGACCACCCCTGCCAGCAGCAGTCGCAGCGGGAGCCGGGCGAGACACGGGAGCAGCACCTGGGGCGGGTGCTGGCGCAGGTGGCACCCAGCATGTTGCTGTGCAGCATCTCCGAGGCCATCTGCTTCTTCCTGGGTGAGCTCGGGGGGCTCCGGGGGCACCGGGGGGGCACAGGGACTCAGGGGTGGACAAGGGGCACAGGGACATGGGGGGCGTGGGGAAACAGGGGTGACTGGGGGCACAGGGACATGGGGGTGCACAGGGTGGGCACAGGGACACTGGGAAATGGTGGAGGGCAACAGGAGCACGGGGGGGGACACAGTGACATGGGGGCGTGGAGGGACATGAGGGGTGCACAGGGTGGGGGGGGCACTGTGGGGGCGCAGGACCACGGCACAGGAGCTGGGCACGGTGGGCACAGGGGGACAGTGGGTGCAGGGGGCTGGGACAGTGGTGGGCACAGGGGGGACAGTGCAGTGGAGGGGCTGGCACAGTGGGCACAGGGGGACAGTGGGTGCAGGGACTGGCACAGCTCTCGCTGGTGCGGGGGCTGCGGGGTTTGGGGTGCCCCCTGAGCCCGGGGTCCCGCAGGTGCCCTCTCGTCCATGCCCGCCGTGCGAACCTTCGCCCTCACGGCCGCCGTCGCCATCGCCTTCGACTTCCTGCTGCAGATGTCGGGGTTCGTGGCACTGGTGGCACTGGACGCCCGGCGGCAGGAGGTACCACCCGGGGGGCTCTGGGGGTCGTGGGGAGGGCACAGGGTGGGCACAGGGTGGGCACAGGGTGGGCAGTGTGTGCCCGGGGTGGGCAGGGGGCCGTGGGGATCCCGTGCCAACCCCCTGTGTGCCCCCAGGCCGGGCGGTTTGACCTGTGCTGCTGCTGTGGGACGGGCAGGGGGGGCCCGGCCCGGGAGGGGGCCCGGCTGCTGCGGCCCCTCCTCGAGAAATTCTACACCCCCTTCCTGCTGCACCCCATCGTTCGGCCCTGCGTGGTGAGGGGGCACCGGGGGCACGGGGGGAGATGGGAGGACTGGGGGGACGGGGGGGAGTGGAGGGATGAGGGGAAAGGTGGGCATGGGAGGAATGGCAGGGGGGGCCATGGGGGGCATTGGGGCACGAGGGGAATGGGGGTCATGGGGCTGGGGGGACTGGGGGTTTGGGGAGCCATCGGGGAGAACGGGGGGAATGGGGGGCACAGGGATTCTGGGGTGTCCTGGGAGGTGGGGAGGACATGGGGGGCTTGGGGGTGGGATGGGACATGGGGGCTGGAGGGGACCAGGGGTCTTGGGAGGGAATTTGGGGGGCTGTGGGGTTCCAGGGGGAGCTGGGGGTGTCAGGGGTCCTGGAGGTCCCTGACCAGGTGCCCCCCAGGTGCTGCTGTTCCTGTTCCTGGCCTGTGCCGGGCTGTTCCTGATGTTCCAGGTGCCCGTGGGGCTGGACCAGGAGCTCGCCCTGCCCGAGGTGGGGACGGGACCGCCGGGGGGTGGGGGGGGGAACGGGGGGACAGGGGGGGTGTTTTGGGGGAATCCGGGGGGGGGGCCCCCTGGGGGGGGGGGGGGGGGGGACGGGGGGGGGGGCATGTCCCTAGGGGGTGACAGAGGGGGGGGTGACATGGCCCTAGATGGTGACAGATGGAGGTGGGGTGACCCTCTGGGCCCTGCAGGACCCTGGACGTGCTGGGTGGGTGACGGGGCCCTAGATGGTGACACACGGAGATGGGGTGACCCTCGGGACCCCTCAGGACCCTGAGGGTGTTGCAGTGGGTGACACGTGGGGATGGTGGGACCCTCAGGGCCCCCCAGGCTGACGGGGGTGCCCGCAGGACTCGTACATGCTGCAGTACTTCTCGGCGCTGAACCAGTACCTGGCCGTGGGGGTGCCCACCTACTTCGTCACCACGGGCGGGTACGACTTCTCCTCTGCCAACGGCACCAACGCCATCTGCTCCAGCGCCGGCTGCGACTCCGACTCGCTCACCCAGACCATCCAACACGCCACCAGCTTCCCCAACGTGTGGGTACACGGGGGGGCACGGGGGGGCCAGGGGGAGGGGTGACCAGCTCCTGCCAGCCCCGTGTGCCCCCTCCAGGTCCTACCTGGCCATCCCGGCCACCTCCTGGGTGGACGATTTCCTGGACTGGCTGAACCCCACGAGCCGCTGCTGCCGCATCCACCAGTTCGGGGCGCACAAGGGGGAGTTCTGCCCCTCCACCAGCAGTGAGTAGGGGCTGGGGGGCACGGGGCGGGTGTGCCATCGTGGCCAGTGGGTGCCCATCGTGGTGGTTCTCGGGTCTACACGCAGTGTCCTCTGTGGTGGCCCTTGGGAGCACATTGGGTGCCCCCCACTGCTGACCCCTGTGCCCACAGATGACCCGAGCTGTGTTTTGGGGCAGTGCCTGAAGACGCTTCGACGCCCCACGGCCGAGGAATTCCAGCGCTTCCTGCCCTGGTTCCTGCAGGACCGGCCCACCCTGCAGTGTGCCAAGGGGTTCGTGGCACTGGGGGTCCCCTACCCAGACATGGCCATCAGTGGGTAACACCTCACCACCCACGCCCTGGGTGCCCCCCCGGGTGCCCCCTGACCCCCGTTTTTCCCCCGCAGGGGCCTGGGCGCCTACGACACTGCGGTGAGCATGGACGAGAACGGCACCATCCTGGGTGAGTGCAGGGCTGGCGTGGGCTGGGGGGGTGCCCAGTGGGCCCCCGGGGGTGCCCCTGACCCCCCCGATCTGTGCCAGCCACCCGGTTCATGGCGTACCAGCGCCCGCTGCGCACCTCGCAGGAGTACACGGCGGCTCTGCGGGCAGCCCGTGCCCTGGGGGACACCCTGACCCGCACCCTGCACAGGGTGCCCGACACAGACCCCCAATTCAGCGTGTTCCCCTACACGTGAGTGCCCACCTGGGGCATGGGAGGCGCAGGATGGGGAGGGGGGAGAGGGGCGTGGTGCCGGGGGGGCACCGCTGGCTGGTGCGGGGTCAGCAATGGGTGCCCAGTTCAGGAACGCCCAGTTAAGGGTGCCCAGGCCAGGGCAGGGGCACTTCTTGGGAGTCACAAGTGGGTGCCCCAGTCAGGAGTCAGTGGGGGTCCCAACTTAAGGGGTGCCCAGTTAAAGGGTGCCCATTGTGGGGTGCTGTGGGTGCCCCAGCACCCAAACTGGGGATCACAAATTTGTGTCCAGTTAAGGGGTTCCCAGTTAAGGGGTGCCCATCCAGTGGTGCTGAGGGTGCCCTTGCTGGGGGTCACTGTGGGTGCCCAGTTAGGGGATGACCCATTCAGGGGTGCCCAGGTCAGGGACAACATGGGCACCTCAGTGCCTCACTGGGGTTAACAGGGGTGCCCAGTTCAGGGCTGGGGTTGCTGTGGGAACCCCTGTTGGGGTCCCAGTGCCTGTGCCAGGGTTTCCAGTGCCCATGTCGGGGTGCTGGTGCCTGTGTTCGGGTACCCAGTGCCCATTTTGGGGTACCTGGTGCCCATTTGGGGTGCCTGGTGCCCTGTCACAGTGTCACGTCACGGTGCCACCCCCGCAGGGTGACATACGTGTACTACGAGCAGTACCTGACGGTGGTGACCGAGGGGCTGGTGACACTGGCATTGTGCCTGTTGCCCACCTTCGCCGTGTCCTTCCTGCTGCTGGGCATGGACCTGCGCTCCAGCTGTGCCACCCTGGTCACCATCACCATGATCCTGCTGGACACCGTGGGGGCCATGGCCCTCTGGGACGTGCCCTACAACGCCGTCGCCCTCATCAACCTCGTCGCGGTGCGGGCACGGGGGGCACGGGGACATAGGGCACGAGGGGTGGCACGGGGACATGGGAAATGTGGGGTGGCACAAGGACATGGGTGGAATGGGGACATGGGACACACGGGGGCACTGGCAGTGTGGGGTGGCTTGGGGGTCTGGCGCACACAGAGTGGCACAGTGGGCAAAGGGCATGGAGAGAACAGGCACAGGGATTTGGGACGCAAGGGTGGCTTTGGGGGCACAGGGGGTGGCAGCAGGACCTGGGACATGTGGGGTGCCACAGAGGCTTGGGGGCACAGGGGGTGGCAGCAGAGGGGGTGACAGGCAGTGTCCCCGCAGGCCGTGGGCATCTCGGTGGAGTTCGTGTCCCACATCACATGCGCCTTCACCCGCAGTGCCCAGCCCACCAGGGTGGCACGAGCCGCCGAGGCCACCATCACCATGGGCAGCAAGGTGGGCACAGGGGACACTGTGGGCCCCCCAGTCCTGCCTGGGGGTGACACTGTGGGCCCCCCAACCCTGCTGGGATTGGGGGGATGCCACGGCACTCCAAATCCTCCTGGGGGGCCAAAGGTGACACCATGGACCCCCACCCCTCCCCTGCTGTGCCCGGGGACCCCGGGGTGGCCTGGCTGCCCTGTCCCTGATGGTGTCCCTGCTGTGGCCACAGGTGGTGGCCGGGGTGGCCATGACCAACCTGCCCGGGGTGGTGGTCCTGGCCTTCGCCAAGGCCCAGCTCATCCAGGTCTTCTTCTTCCGCCTCAACCTCATCATCACCCTCGTGGGGTTGGCACATGGGCTGGTCTTCCTGCCCGTGCTCCTCAGCTACATCGGTAAGGACCCCCTGGCCCCACCCCCGGGACAGTGCCCTGGCCCTGTGTGCCACCCCGGGGCACAGGGACAGCCTGGCACCATCCCTGTTGTCCCCACAGGGCCCAGCCCGCAGGTGCCCGCAGGGGACACGCCGGGGGACACGCAGGGTGCAGGCACCACCTACTTCAAGGACACAGACACGGACAAGCCCGGGAAGGGCTGAGCCCCCCTGGCCCCTCTCACTCCCCTCTTGCCCCCACTGCTGCCGCTGTTCTATTTAAACTGGTTTTCTCAGAGTCTGGACTGGTTTAACTGGGGTGGGTGGGGGCGTGTTTTGGCTCTGAAGCGTCGCACAGGGATGGGGACACGGGGACAGAATGTGTGGAGACAGGGACATGGACACTGTGGGGACAGGGACATGTGAGGCACACGGGCAGTGTGGGGACAGGGACATGAGGGACACAGGAATGTGTGGGGCAGAGGGACACAATGGGGCCATGGACATCGTGGGGACAGGGACATGGGGGGCACATGGCACCGCTGGGACGGGACACACAGGGACAGGGTTCTCTGGGGCACGAGGGCACTGTGGGGACAGACCAAGTGACAGGCTGGCAGGGCTGGGAGTCCCCTGTGCTGGTGGCACTGCCCCTGCCCGTGCCAGGGGTGGCACTGGGGGTCCCAAGGTCCCTGCACCGCAAACCACTGGGAGCTGGGTGTTTATTGCTGGGCACTACAGGTACTTGTAGACCACGCGGGCGGGCACCGTCTGCAGCTCCAGGCGCACGGGGCACTTGTAGAAGTGGCTCAGGAGGGTCTCGGTGTAGCCCACCAGGAAGTAGATCTTGCTGGGGGCCAGTGCCCGGTTAAGCAGGGCACAGATCACCAGCAGGTTCCCGCGGCGCTTCAGCACCACCTCGTCCGCCAGGAGCCCCGGGAAGGTGCCGTACATGAACCGGCGCAGGAACGAGTCCTCCACTGCCCGCTCTGCCGCGCCTGCCTCGCCCTGCAGGTTACCTGGGCACAGGGGCACGGCTGGCACCGGGGGCTGGCACTGCTGCCACCCTGTGCCCACCCCACACATCCCTGCTCCCACACAGCCCTGTCCCCTCAGTGCCCTCGTGCCCCATGGCCCTGTCCCCGTGTGCCCCAGAACACCCCGTGATCCCTCCCCACAGGGGCCCTCATCCTCCCCACGGGTGCCCTCACCCTCCCCACCCGCTGCCCCTCCGTGTGCCCCCCGTCCCCCCGCCGTCCCCCCGTGCCCGGTACCCACCGGTGTGCAGGGACAGCCAGCCCTTGCGGTGGGCGATGTAGTGGGGGGGATGTGCCTGCTCGTAGGTCACGGGCTTGTCCCCTTTGCCCACCCGGACCCGCGCCGCCCGCGTCTGTGGGGACAGGGGTCAGGGGACACAGGGGTCAGGGGGGCACAGGGGTCAGGGGGGCACAGGGGTCAGGGGGGCACAGCCCGGGGGGGGCACAGCCCGGGGGGTTGCAGGGAGGGGACACCCCCGGGGTCCCAGGACTCACCTTGAGGCAGGCGGGGCTGGTGTGGAGGTGCCGGGGGCCGGGCAGGGCACAGGGCAGTACCTGGGGGGGGTCACAGGGCTGGGGGGCAGCCGGGGCTGGGGGGCCTGTCCCAGTCCCCTGCCCCCAACAGCCCCTGACCCCCCGGACCCCGCCGTCCCCAGAGCGGGGTCAGCACTGCTGGAGCCCCCCGGGGAGGGGACCAGTGACCCCCACACGCGGTGTCAGCTGCACGCAGTGTCCCCCCGCACTCGGTGTCTCCTATATCCAGCGTCCCCAGTGTCCCCTGTACGCAGTGTTCCCCTCCCGCAGTACCCCCATCCCCTGCGTTCTCCATTCCCAGTGTCCCCAGTGCCCCCCCCGTTCCCGTGTCCCCCATTCCCGGTTCCCCCCGTGCCCTCTCACCCTCAGCGCGCGCGCGGCCGCCGCCATCTTGGATCGGGGCCGGGCCGGCAGCGCCCCCTGGCGGCGGGAGGGCGGCACTGGGTCCGCCGGTGCTGTGGGGGGTCCTGAGGGGCCCGGGCTGCCCCCCCAGCCCTGCCGGGGGGTTCCGGGGTGTCCTGGTTCCCCCCCCAGCACTGCCAGGGGGTTCCGGGGTGTCCTGGTTCCCCCCCAGCACTGCCCGGGGGGTTCCGGGGTGTCCTGGTTCCTCCCCCTCGCACAGCCCCCTGTCTCTCTTTCAAACTCGATTTTGGGGTCCCTGGCCTTGCTGGGGGGCTGCCCCCACCATGGGGTGTTGAGGCACTGCCCCTCCTCTCTGGGGTGCCGGGGGCTCTCTCTGTGCCTCCCCAAACCCTGCAGCAGCCACTGGGATCACCCTCCCCACAAGGGGGGGGCTGTCCCCCATATCCTGGGCCCCCCCACCTCTGGCTGTCAGTCACAGCCCCCCTTCCCACCTTTCGGGTGACCCCCCGCCCATCCTGAGGGGTTCCCCGCATTTCTCCCCTCTTTCCACTCCCCTCCTGGGGGTCTCCCCCCCTTCCCCCCCCACCCTGGGGGTCTCCTCAGATGTCCCTCCTTCCCCCCCCGCAGTCCAGACTCAGACTCAGACTCAGGGTTTATTTTGGGGGGTCTCCATCGTGTCCGTGCCGGGGGGTGGTTTGGGGGGCTCAGGGGAAGGCGATGGCGCTGAGGGGGGGCAGCTCCAGCGGGGGGTCGGTCGGAGGGGGGTCCCGGAGGGGTCCCGTGGGCCGGGGCCCCCCGTGGTGGCCGTACTGGAACTTGAGGCGCAGCTCCCCCAGGCGGGAGCGGGGCAGGATGTTGGGGATCCACTCGATGGTGAACGGGGTGGGCTCCTTCTGCGTGGGGGATGTGTGTCCTGGGGGGGCACGGCGGGGTGGGTGCAGGCCCCCCCTGCCCCTCCACTGAAGCCCCCCACCCTCCAGACTTTCCTTTAACCTCTCTTGCAGCCCCCAGGGGTGGTTTTGTACCCCCCACTCTCTGGACCCCCTGTTCCCCCTCTCTTCAGAGCCTCCAGGGGTGTCTGTGCGTTTGTCCCCCACCCTCTGGGTCCCCCTTTCCCCCCTCCCTTGAAGCCCCCTCACCCTCTGGGCCTGCCCCCTCCTTTAGCTGCTCCTCTCCCCCTCCACTGAGCCCCCCCCCGGGGTCCCCCTTTTCTCCCTCTCTTTACAGTCCCCAGGGTTCCCAGGATTCTGCCCCCCCTCCCCGTGGATTTCAGGGTCCCATCCTGTGGATTTTGGGGTCCCATCCTGCCCCTCCCTGTGGATTCCCTCACTCACCAACTTTGAGGAAGGTCTGGAGCTCCAGGGGCCGCAGGGGGGGCTGTTTCTCGGGGGTCCCAAACCCGTCTCCCACGGGCTCCACCTCCACGCGGGGGGTCCGGAAGGGCTCGTAGGAGCCGTCCCGGTTCTGCACGAAGCTCCTGGTGATCTCCAGCGGCAGCTGTGGCGAGGGGGGGGTCAGGAGGGGTTGTGGGGGGCTCTGGGGGGCCGGGGGGGGCTGCTCCCCCCTTACCTCAGGCGTGTCAAAGATCTGCTTCACCTGCAGGACGTTGGTGATGTGCCAGGTGTACTTGGAGAAGGTGCCCAGGGGCAGCGCGTCCCTGCGCACGAAGGCTGGGGAGGGTGGGCTGTCAGGGCTGGGGGGGACTTGAGGGGCTTCCCCCCCCTTTTTCCTCTTTCTTCCCTTCACCTTTTGCCTCCCCACCACCACTTTTTTCCCCCCCACTTTCCTCCCCTTTTTTTGTCCCTCTTTTCTCCATTCTCACCCTTTTTATTTTTACCCTCTTTCCCCCCCTGTTTTCCCCACACCTCTTTTTTCTCCTGTTTCTCCCCTGGGATCCCTCACCCGTGGTGGAGTTGGGGAGCCTCTTCTTACTGCTCCCACTGGAGATGCGCTGCTGGAGGGCATCAAAAAAGGCCTGGGGGATGTGGAACACCAGGGGCTCAGGACGCCCTGCAGGGGGAACAGGGGGAGCACAGGGATCAGGGGCTGGGGGATCCAGGACCCTCATCCTGCTCAGGCCCTGAGTGTGCCTGGGGCTCACTGGATCAGCAGTGCTGGGGTCTGAAGACGTTTCCAGGGAAGTATCTTGGATTTGGAGGCAGGTGTTTCATCGGGTGTCCTGTGCCCCTTGTCCCCTCCCTGGGAGAGGAACCCAGCACCCTCCTGTCCATGAGGAGTTGAGACTCTAATCCTGTTCCTCCCTCCCACCCTGAAATCCCCTGATGTCCCTTCCCTGTGCTGTCCGTGCTCCAGATGCCACCTGGAGATGCCCTTGGAGCATTTCTGTGGCCTCCTCTGGATTTGCTCCAGCAGCTCCACAGCCCCATGTTGGGGTCTCAGAGCTGGAGGCAGGTGGGGTCTCACCTGAGCAGGGCAGAGGGGCAGAATCCCCCCCTCACCTTGATCTGACCTGAATCAAAGGCAGTAAAACTTCCCAGGGCACAATAAATTCCCTGCAAACCAGCCAAAGCCCTGGGGGCAGTCCCTGGGTGGGCTGGAGCCCCGAAGCCCCCCTGGGTGCCCCCCAGACTCACCCTCAAACTGGTAGTGCATGGTTTGGTGGATGCGCTCCGTGACACTGGCCAGCCAGTCCTGGAAGGACAGGGACACCTGGGACTCATCCAGCACCTGGGGACAGCCTGCAGGAGGGAGGGAAGGGATGCTGGAATGTCACCCCCCCAGAGCACCCACACACTCCCCAGGGGCATCTGTGGGAGCCAAACCAGCCCTTCCTGGCTGTGGGGTGGGATGGATGTGCTTTGTCTCAGGGAAAAAGGGGAAAATGAGGGATTTGTTCCACTTTCCAGGCCAAAACTAAAGCTGAGAGAGAGGAAAGCACCAAGCAGAGGCTCCTGCCCTGGCACAGGGCATTGCCAGCATGGAGAGAGGGTTTCTCCACAGGGTTCTGAAGAAACTCAAAAGGACAGATCCTTCTTTTCCAAACATCCCACGAAAACTCAAATAAATCATAGAATCATGGAATGGTTTGGGTTGGAAGGGATCTTAAAGCCCTCCCTGCCCATCCCATGGGCAGGGACACCTTCCACTATCCCAGGTTGCTCCAAGCTCTGTCCAGCCTGGCCTTGGACACTGGCAGGGATACAGGGGCAGCCACAGCTTCTCTGGGAATTTCATCCCAGCCCCTCCCCACCCTCCCAGGGAAGAATCTCTTCCCAATACCCATATAAATCTACATAAACCCAGAGTGGGCACTGCCAAGGGGGCCCTGGGTGCCCCCAGACTCACTGTGTCTCTTCAGGGAGGACGAGGCCACTGGTGGCTTCCTGAGGCTGCTCCTTCTGGGGCCGGGATGAGCTGGGTCCGGAGCCAGGAGCGGGCTGGTCACCTGTGTCCCTGAGGGAGGGGTTGTCACTGCAGGACTCACCCCATGGGATCCCTACCTGTCCGTCCCCTCCTTCCTTGGGGCCCTTCTCCTCCATAACACCACCATGAGCATGGGAAAAGACCCCTCTGGGCCAGGTTGGGGTTGTTCCCGAGGCTCCACTGGCACCGACACAGCCGGATCCTGGTCTCTTGGAGCTGCATTGCTGGGGGATTTCAAATCCCACCCAATCCTCGAGCTGGATCCCAGTCCCTTGGAGGTGCTCCCAAGGGGATTTTCAGCTCCCACCCATCCCACAGACCTTCCCAGGGACACTCACCCGGCCCCACATCCTTTTTCCTCTTCCTGGCCTTGGCAGCAGCCGCCCCCCGAGGCCGTGCTGTGGATCCGGGGCCACAAACCAGCTGCGGGACCACCGCACCCTTCAGACCTGGGGACACAAATCCTGTCCCTAAAAACATCTCAGCCAGGGAACAGGGGGCTCATGTGCCCCCCCAAGACCTCCCAGCACATCCTAAATATTGCTGCTGTGGGAGGGGTTCACAGGAAATTAACCCCAGAGGCAGCTGTGGGAGGGGGTTCACAGGTTCCAGCCCTGGAAAACGACCCCTAGCACGCCCTGAGCACCCAAGGCAGTGAATCCCAGTGGGATCTGCCCCCACTTAGCTCTCATGGGAGCACGGGGAGCTCCCCACTCTGCTCCCACACTCTGGGAGCCAGGAACGGGTGTAAGGGCTGCTGGGAGGTGCCAGGGCCCCGGGCTGGGGTGTCACCAACCCCTCAACACCCCCCAAAGCCCCCGTGTGCCCCCCCTTCCCACCCCCGGCGTCGGAAGCGAGGAACTCGGCGAACTCCTGGGCCAGGCTCTCGTCGCTGGCGAAGGCGCAGATGCAGGCGAGGAAGTGGATGCAGCGTGTTGGTGGGACCTCTTCCTCCTCCTCCTCCTCCTCCCCCTTGCCGTGCCCAGCGCGGGGGCTCCGGCAGGCGCAGGAGAAGCGGTGCTGAGCGAAGCAGGCGTGCAGGTAGCCCAGGCCGTGCCTCTGGCTGGCCTGGCACTTGACCACCAGCACGCTCCTGGTGACCCTCTGCACCAGCGGCCCCGTGGGCTCCGTCGCCAGCTCCCACAGGCTCTGCTTGGCCTCGGGGGGTGCCTGCAGGGAGCCCAGCACAGAGCTCTTGAGGGGCAGCGGCGTGGCCTCGGCCTGGCAGCCCAGGGCCAGCTTCAGGTGCTGGCACTGCTTGTCCTCCGCCACCGCCGTGCCGCAGGCGGGTGCGTGGCAGCGCCCCGAGCTCAGCTGGGTGATGAGGGTGCCTTCGGGAGTCTGGATGGCGGTCTCGGAGACCCCCAGCTCCACGAAGCAGCGGGCGTGGTGCCCGCGGTGCCGCACGGAGTAGAGCTGTGCGGGGGAGCCGGTGAGGACGCGCACGGCGCCGGGGTCGGTGCCAGTGCCGGGGGCGGGTGGGCGGCGGGCGCCGGGCCGGAACACCGTCCCACACCGCTGGTTCTTGCAGCTCAGCCCCCGCGTGCCGTTGTAGGTGCCACAGCGGGGGCACTTGCGGATGCCCCGCAGGGTGGCCTTGCCCAGGTCTGACAGGAAGGAGGGGGCTTTGGGCCTCGATGGCGGGGGGTCCATGCTCAGGGAGCTGTGAGGGCACAGAGGGGGGAATGGGGGGGGAACAGATTAGTTGGCTGGTCACTGGTGGTGCCAGTGGTGTCCCAACAGTCACTGGGACACCCCACAGTCCCTGGGACACCCTGTCCGATCCCTGTGCCATCCTGACAGTCCTTGAGCCACCCTGACAGTACACATGTCACCCTAGAAAACATGAATCATGGGCAGAAATGGGGCAGGAATGGGGGCAAGGAATGGGGCAGGAATGGGAGCAGGAATAGAGCAGGAATGGGGGCAGGAACGGGAGCAGGAATGAGGCGATTCCCGATTTGCACCAGTTTGGCCAGTTCTGAGGACCAGAACAGCGACTTCAGCCCCTCAACCCATTCCCCCCCTCACACAGCTCCCTATCCCAGTGTGACACTGGGGGGGGACTGGGAGGGCTCCCCGTGACCCCCAGGAAGCCCGTGCCCGTCCCTGCTCTGCCCCGCGTCCCTGATCCCCAGCCCGGGTGTCTCTCCCCCAGTCCGGGGGTCTCTCCCCCGCCCCGGTACCTGCGGCCCCGTTACCGCCGCCGTGGGCGCCGTGAGGGGGGTCCCACTTCCGCCCTTCACGCGCTCCTATTGGTCTGTCAGCACCACGTGGCGTCCCGCGGGGGCTGCTGGGAGATGTAGTCCAAAGAGGGGCTATGGCCACCCCAGGGCCTGGACTACAACTCCCAGCAGCCCCCGCGGCAAGAATTCACCACTTTCTCCCCTTTCACCCCCAAATTCCAACCTTTCCCCCACAAATCCCACCAGCACCCGCTCCACTCCCCCCCGTGACCAACAAAACACAGCACGCAAGCTTCAGGGTTTTTTTAATTTTCCTTTTTTTTTCTTTTTACATTTTTTCCCTTTTTTTTCCATTTTTGTGGGTTTTTTGTGTTTTTGTTTTTTTATTTAAAGGCTGGGCAAGAGGTAGGATTAAAAAAAGGGTGTTTTTGGCCTCTGATAGATCAGGTTTGGGAGCTCTTCTCACCTTCACTCCCTTGTAAAACACACATGGGATATCGAGGGAATTTTACACAATTCATTAAAAACTTTATATTCCAAGAGATATTTGATATCCACAAAAAAATAAGGGAAAAAAAAGAAGATTTGAGGCATAAAATCACATCAAAAAGACTCCGTGTCCTACCTTTAAATAAGGAAAAGTACAAAAGTGGCCAAAAGTTGTGCAAAATTCTTCAATTTGCTCAAATATTTTACAGGAAAATGTAGAAATCAGTAAAAAAAAAAATCAAAGTAACAACCCTGGAGGGATTTGTCACGTTTTAGCAACAGGAATTTTGCTGTCCCAGGGTGGGAATCTTGGCTCACATGGGGAGATGGATGTTGTCACACCCCTTTTGTTCCCCCCATCGTAAGGCAAAACCGACCCTGAAAAACACACTGAGATCCACAAAAAATGATGTAAACGAGTAATTTATCCTCAGAAAAAACCCCTCCTGGTGGAAGAAAAGCCAGAGGGTTTTTCCAAGAGGCTGCTTAAAAACAGGGTGTGAGGCTGAAGATGTGGCAGCTCCAGGATTCCCACACTTTTGGCTTATTTTGGGGGGTTTTACAGCTGTTTATGGTGTATTTTTCCATCGGCTCCGAGGGAAAACCTCCCCAAAAATACAAAACCAAGGATGACTTGTGCAATTCCTGCCCCAATTCTCAGCTAAGGCAGCGAAGTCCCTGCATTTGTGTTTCTAAAAAACATTGAATTTAAGAAACACATCAAAAGGAGGAAAAAACAACCAAGGCAGAAGGCGGCGATCCAGCATCTGGGTTTGGGGGGGGAAGGGGGGATTTTGTTAAAATTGAAAGGGTGGGGGCGATTTTTCCATGATTCCAACCCCTGGGATTGTGGCTCTGGTAATAAATACCCGGGTGGGGGAGCTGGGGGGTCCCTGCGCTCAGGGGGTCTCGAAGCCCACGCGGAAGCCGGGCTGGGGGGGCACCACGGCGCCGTTCTGGCCTTGGGGGGGTTGCACTCCATAGTTGGGGCCCATCCAGGCTGCTGCCGACTGGGTCTGGCTGTGGGGGGAGAGAAGAATCCCTTAGGAATGTGGGGGGGAAAAGGGAAGGGGGGTTTGATGAGGAATTGGGGCACTGAGGGGGAACAGTTTGAGGGGGTTGTAGGGTCACAAAGCCGTTTCCCAAGGGGATAAAAAGGAGATTAAAGGGCCCCCCGAACTCACCTGAATCCCTGCTGGTTCCAGGCCTGGCCGTACACGCCATAGGTGGGCACCTGCCACCCGTTGGGCACGTATTGCCCGAGCTGGGCCCCGCCGTACCACTGCCCCCACTGCCCGTAGGGAGGGGGGTAACTCAGCTGGTTCTGTGGGAAGAGCCAGGGGAGGAATCAGGGAATGACACCTTCCACCAGGCCAGGCTGCTCCAACCTGGGATACAGGGATACAGGCTCCCCCCTCCTGTCAGGAAGTTGTAGAGAGCGAGAAGGTCCCCTCCGAGCCTCCTTTTCTCCAGGCTGAGCCCCCCCAGCTCATTGACATTTTCCAGCCCCTTAAGGAATTCCCAGCAGACTCCCAGGAACTGGCCCTTCCCAGAGGAGCAGCCCTGACCTGCTGCACGGGGCTGACCATGTCAGGGGTCTCCTTGCCCCAGTAGCACTTCACGACGTGGCCCTCGATGGTGGTGCCGTTGACGGACACGATGGCGTGTGCTGCACTCTCGTGGGAATTGAACCTGCCGGGATCAAGGGGGGACAACACGAGTCACTCACTCAGGGAATAACAGCTGGGATAACCCCCAGGGGCCTCGCTAGCCCAGGATGGGTTTGGGGCCTCAGGACCAGCTGGAACTGCCCCTGTCCCACCCCAACGGGTGGCAGGACATGAGGCCACGGGTGACAAAGGGTTGGGGTTGCTCCTCCTGTCTCCATGCTGTGATTCTCCCTAAATACACTGGAAAATCCAGCAAGGAGAGCAGTCAATTTATGATGTTTTTTGCTATATGGAGCTTCATCAATAAAGGGATGGTGGTTTTGGAAAGACTCAAAGTGCTTCAGTAACTCCTCCAAGATGACACAACAGACCAAGGTCCTGCACAGTTCCAGCTGTTTTCTGGGGTTTTTCCTGGTTGTTACGGCCCATAACCCCCTCCTCAGAGCAGAGGGAGGCAAACTCCCACCCCTGCAGACCCACCGTGCCCCTGCCCTCGGCCCACCTACCGCACGAAGGAGTATCCTTTATCCGGGAACACTCGGATCTCCAGGATCTGCCCAAAGGGGGAGAAGGTCTGGCGCATCAGCTGCTCTGGAGCAGGAAGGACAGGGAGCAGCGTGAGGAACCCGCAGGGGCACAGGAAAGGGGGCACAGGGGGAACCCCACATACCTGTGAGGCCCGAGGTAACCCCCCCACAGTACACGGTGCAGTTGCTGGGGCTGGACTGGGTGACCACGTCGTCGTAGGACAGTTGTTTGGTGTTTGCTGGGAGAGATTGGACAGGGATTTTCAGTGGATCCGACAGGAATGGTGGGGGAATTATAATTATAATCCTGACTGGCAAAAGGTGTTGAGCACAACCTGCAAACACTTCACTGAGAATCTCTGTGGAGAGACTTAAGAGCCCCTTCTAGTGACTAAAGGGGCTGCCAGAGAGCTGGAGAGGGACTTGGGACAAGGGACAGAGGGACAGGACAAGGGGGGAATGGCTTCCCACTGCCAGAGGGCAGGGTTAGATGGGATATTGGGAAGGAATTCCTCCCTGTGAGGGTGGTGAGGGGCTGAGAATGGAATTCCCAGAGCAGCTGTGGCTGCCCCTGCATCCCTGGCAGTGTCCAAGGCCAGGTTAGATGGGGTTTGGAGCAACCTGGGCTAGTGGAAGGTGTCCCTGCCCATGGCAGGGGGTGGGATGGGATGGCTGTGAGGTCCCTCTGCCCCCACCCATTCCATGATTCCCTGACCCGGGAGGCTGGCAGGGCACCCAGCTGAGCACCTACACTCATAGGTGCTCTTTGGAGCCGGAGGTTTCCTCGTGGCCCAGTTGGTGCGGATCTGCCGTCCCCCGAGCCACTGCCCCCCCATCTGCTGGATGGCGTTCTCTGCGTCCTGTGGGGAGAGGAGACAACAAAACCCCCCCTCAGCAACTCCTCCCCTTGGAGAGAGCCAAGGGAATGACATCACCGGGCTCCTGACTGACAAATCCCTGGCAGTGTCCAAGGCCAGGTTGGACGGGGCTTGGAGCAACCCAGTCCAGTGGAAGGTGTCTCTGCCCATGGCAGGGGGTGGAACTGGATGGGCTTTAAGGTCCCTTCCAACCCAAACCATCGTGGGATTCTGTGATTTATATGGGTTTATAAATATAGAGAGGAGCTTCTCCTCATGACAGGCAGGGAAACCAAAGCTGGAGAGAGATTGGGACTGAGAACACTCCAGTGACAATCATCCAGGCAAGCTCAAGACCATGGCACAGCTCAGCCATTTACTGAAGAAGAAGGGATCTTTCCCATTTATTGACAAAGGAAACGAAGGGATGTAACCCATTTACCGAGGAAGGAAACAAAGGGATGTCTCCCCTTTACTGAAGAAGGAAACTAAAGGATCTTACCCATTTATTGAAGAAGGACACGAAGCCATATCCCTTGGACTTCCCTGTCGCCATGTCCTTGACCACCCGTGCGTCCCTACAAAGCACAAACGAGAGCCAGTTCAGCCCCTTCCAGTGCAGCCCCTCCTCGAGTCCCTGAGCCATTTTCCTCTCTCACCTCCACTAATCCTCAGCTCTTCACTGCACCAGCAACACACTCAAAGCAAAAGGCTCCTTGTCTACACAGAACTTTACTAAGGCTTTGCCAGGGAGCGGCAAAATTAAAACTTAATTGTGTACACATGTAAATCAATGGCTTCTCTAATAAATGTCTGCACTCTACAGCTGGCTCCTGCTTCAAAACACTCTCACAGACTGCTAAGGCACAAAGCATGGTCAAAGCAGCTATTCCAGATGGCTTAAGGCTGACAGAGCTGAATGGCTCTCTTGAACCATGCCATTTTTAAACTTTTATTGATTTGCCAACACATTCTACCTACTCATTCCAAATATTACATAGAAAAAAATAAAAAAAGAAGATAGGAATTAAAAGGCATACGTCGCCTGTTAACTGAATTCTTTAATTCTTGGGTCGTTACCCCCTGTTTGGACTGTGGGCAGCTGTAAATTTTGAGAGATTGATATTTCAGAAATTAGTGAAGAAAACATTGCAATATTCATATCTTTATAAACTACACATCACACAGCATTGGTACAACAGAGACTGGAACTACGAAATATATATAAAAAAGAGGGGAAAAAATGAATAAAATTGATAAAAATAAATAAGAAAACTACAACGTTTCTCCACTGTGAACTGTAGCTTGTGGTTAGCCATGGAATTCTGTCCATTCTTCAGGGACACTCTGCAAAATAACCAGAGCCCTATTATTTGGGATTGAGTTAGGAAGAGAACCCAGCTACCAGAGCTAAACCCACTGGAGGGACACAGCAGCAGTTCGGGGCCCAGCCAGCCCAGGGTGAGGTGTCCTCACCCCCAGGCCACCCTCTCCTCCCTCCCACCACGGACAGGCAGGAAAAGAAACAGAAACAGCA